CATTTGTTGCTTGCTGTTCTGTTAAATTTTGCTATTTTGACTGGGGTGAAATGATATCTCATAGTTGTTTTAATTTGCATCTCTCTTAGGGCTAACGTCCAGCATCAGGGAACCTCTTACTGAGCCTTCCCTCATTTCTCCCTTTCGATCCCTCACCTGTCTCCTCCAGTCCTAGCTGAAGGCAGGAACACTTGGCAAGGCCCTTCACCCCTCCACAGCGGGCCTGGCAGGCCCTGTTCTCCCTGTGTACACCTGAGCCGCTCTCCGAGATTACCCTCCACACCTCACTGTCCTCTCTCCCTCTCCTTTCCCTGGACGCAAGGATCCCACAGCTTTCCGAGCTCCCAGCCCGCCCTGCACCCACAGTCTCTGCACCCACACACTGCTCCTCGCTCACGTCCTGTAATGAGCATCTCGGCCCAGAGGTCCTCTGCCCCCCTCATCCCTTTCGGCTTTGCTTCCTGCCGTCACACCCGCTGACACCGTGTGCTTGTGCCTGGTGTCACTTCAGGAGCACAGGGCTCTGTCTTGTTCCCCCTGGTCTTTCAGGCAGGACCAAGGTGGGTGCAAGGCTGGCACTAGGTGTGGACAGTGTGCAGAGCTGGTTCTCTGCACCACCTCTGTCTGGGTGTGTGGAGACCAGGGGTTCCTGTGAGGATTTGGGGGCCCTGGTGAACAGAGTCCGGGTCCCCACTGGTGCCTGGCACGGGCCTTGGAGGGGAGGGTGGTAGCTTCTCGGCATTCTTCTCTTCCAGACAAAGTCACCCCGGAGGACTTGCGGCCAGAGGAGAGGCCCGTGGAGGGTGAGGCGCTCCCCATTTCACCCCCTTGTCTCCCCTGAGCTTCCTCATTTCCCCTTTGTTCCTGCGTCTCCTCATTTCCTACACCCCAAGAGGTGTGGTTGGGGGTGAGGCCTGGGCTGCCTGGGTTGGGGGCGATGTCTAGAACTGTCTTCTGAAGCCTGGAGATACCTGGCCAGGTGTGAGCGGGCTCTGGGAAGGAACTGTCACTCTCTGTATTGACTTTCCCCCTGACCCAGGCGTCTTCCTTCCAAGGACTAAGCAGGGAAACTCGAGGCCTGGAAGCCCAGAATTACCTTTGTGTCCTAGAAACCAGTGTGCTCAGGAGACCCAGGGACTGTTCATTCCCTCGGTGCTGAGGGCGGGGGCAGGACAGGAAGAACACGTGGGAAGAGACTGCTTCATCTCTGGAGTATCTGTCCTTAGGATGGGATGAATGCGTCTCAGAGGAGAAACGTTCATTTCCCAAAACACTGTGGCAGCGAGACCAGGAGGCCTTAGCAGAAGTCGCCTGCCACCTGCTGGCAGTGAGCTCAGCTTGCTGGCTGAGTGTGCAGCTCCTGGTTAAACCTGCTCAATTAGCCTTCAGTGATGTTCGTCTAGAGAGTCCTGTGGACCCTTTGAGGCCACTGAACCTTTCACCTCACCGTTCAGGCCTGGTGATGCTCATACCCCGTCTCAGACACAGGAGGCGAGCCCGGCCACTGGGGTCCTGTTTCTGTGGAAATGGGTCACCCACTACCACCACTCTTAGCTTCTCCCACTCCAAGGTCCTTACCCGGGTCCCTGGGTGCCATCCAAGCCCACGTGCCACTGTCTCTGGGGGCGCAGCAAACCATTGCCTTTGCCTTCCAGAGAGCCACGGCGACGTCATCCGGCCCCTGCGCAAGCAGGTGGAACTCCTCTTCAATACGCGCTATGGTAAGGGGGGCTGGCAGGTGGACCCCGCTACCCGGGCAGCTGCTTCTCACAGCCCCCTCAGGAAGGGACAGCTGCTTCTACGCAGGGACTGGAGTGGGACACAACCCTCAGAGTTGAAGAGGACGGTGCCTGGGTGCACCTGCAGCTCCTGGCATCCTGCACCTAGAGCTGGGGTGCTGCCCTGCCTCCCCCAGCTGCACCCCCGCTTCCCCACTGCCTCCTCCTCCCGCTCACTCTCACTCACTGGCTTCGCCCCCTCCGTCAGCGCCTCCCTACACAGGCCTCCTCGCTCCGTGGTGTGTCAGTCCAGGTGGAGGGCCAGTCTCTCCCTGTGACAATACAGCCCTCTGTCCCTAGGCACCTCCTTCAAGGACCATCAGGATGTGTGGCCAGATGACCCCTGCCCAGGAGATGGCAAGGGGCAGGGAGGCAGGAAGGAGGCAACTCTTTATTAAGCCCCTGTACACTGGGCTGGATGCGTCTCACACACACTTTCTCGTCCTAAATTCCTGTGTTCTTACACCCATTTCACAGATGAGGGAAAGTGAGACCTGACATGATTTGTTCAAAGCCCCACAACTACTGAAGGGCGGAGTCTAGCCTGGGCCTTGGACCTGTCCTGTTTGCATGCTTTGGGAGTTATTATGGTGGGAGGCCATGACCCTGAAGGGCATTGCTGCCATCGTAGGGACCAGTGTTGACAGGAGGACAGTGGCCTGTGGGTGGGCTTTGGGTCACACTGATGCAGGCTCACACGTAGCTGTGCTGCTTTGGGGCTTTGCCCCTTAGACAAGTCACATTTCCTGTAGACAACAATACACTCCCCTGCCCGCCCTCCCAGAGGTGAGCTCTGACAGCTGTTGGGGGGCAGCGTCAAGGTGGCTGGTCAGGGGGCTGGCCCTCAGCAGCCGTGTTTCTGCAGCCAAGGCCATAGGTACCTCAGAGCCTGTGAAGGTCCCCTACTCCAAGTTCCTGATGTACCCGGAGGAGCTGTTCGTGGTGGGGCTGCCCGAGGGCATCTCCCTCCGCAGACCCAACTGCTTTGGGATCGCCAAGCTCCGCAAGATCCTGGAGGCCAGTAACAGCATCCAGTTTGTCATCAAGAGGTAAGGCTGGCCACGCCCGGCACCGCCAGGCTCACCTGGTGCCTAGGGACAGCGCCAAATGACATCTTCCTGGACCTCAGCAAAGGCTTTTCCCAGTGCAGGGACAGCGGGTGAAATTTGCGCTGAGTGGGGCAGATTTGATACTGCTCAGCTTGGCTGACCAGGCTCCTCTCCATCCCGGGAAAGCCGGCCTCAGTTTGCCCAGATGTGGAACGGGCTGTACCCACCAGCTTGCCCTCCAGCTTTGTTGGAGCGTGCTCCGGGCAGGTGTGTTGGCATCCTGGGCCTGCCGAGGGCATTGCTCTGTTACACCAGGACTCGGCACCCGGCATGTTTGTCAGAGTGTCTGCCTAGCATCTCCTGGCAGAGCCAGCCCGGTCGGCGTCTTCCTCAGGTCAAAAGGCCACACTCGTGATGCTCGCCTGCACTAGACCAACATCTGGTCTCCCAGCGTTCCCCACGCTGCGGTCACTGTTCTCTGTGTAATTAGGAAATTACTTAATAGTGGAGGGGAAATTATGAAGTCAACTCTAAAAGGGGAAAAAAGAAATCACGGTAGGGACTTTGCGATGACCTGGGTCAAGCTGTTCTGTGTTGCTTCTGTGTATTAAGTATTAACAGTAATTTACTATTTTTACACATTCACACTTGCTTTGTTTAAAAGAGGAGGCTCTTAGGGTTTGTCCCTCTCAGGGTGTGCGTGACCCCCGGTTGGGGTCAGGCTGGTGCCAGGTGCAGACACTGCTCCGAGGTCTAGTTTGAGCCACAAGGAGCTGAAAAAGCAGGTTTGACGTTCTGTCCACAAATCCACGTGACAGTCAGGCCACACCAGGCTGGAGGCCCAGGGCAGAAATCCTGGTCTGGCACTTCCCAAGTGAAATCACAGTGTGACGTCAGGTAGAAGACGTGCTGGAGAAGGTGCTAGGGATGGAGATGCCCTGGTGGCACAAACGGTGTGCCCGTGTCTCCTAACCCCAAGGATGGCGGTTTGAATCTGTTCACCGGCTCCGAGGAGAAAGGGCCTGGTGATCTCTTTCTGCAATAATTAGAGATAAGGAGACCCTGTGGGCCAGTTTTCCTGTGTGTTGCCTGTACTTGGAAATGCCCTCCACAGCAACAGGTTCAGTGTTTTTGGAGGAGAATGTTTCAGAAAAGGGCAGGGGGGAGACTGTCCAGGAAGATGACACCTGAGAAGAACCTCCGTGAAGCAAGGAGGCCCCGAGAACATCTGGTGGAAGGGCATTCTAGGCAGAGGCAACAGCAGTGCAAAGGCCCTGCGGCAGGAAAGTCCTGATGATGAGGGTCATTTCCAGGAGTGGCTTCAGTTCCACATTTGAAGGCTTATCTAAGGGCTAGGACCACTCCCTACCTGCCCAGTAAGTGTGGTCTCTGATGTTTTGAATTTTATTCTACATTTCTTCTCCCATTCTGCCCCAGACCACCTGAACAGAACAGTCGGTGGAGGAGGCCAGGCACCAGCTCTTTCTGCTCCCAAGACAGGAGGGGCTGTGGTTCCTGGGATCTGCTAGCCTTTTGGGCGGATAGTTCCCTTGAGCCTTTGATGTTCTTCATTCACTCTTCTTGCCTTCAGACGGAAGGAGACTGGTGGTTGCATCTTAGCTGGCTGCTTGTTCTTGGTGTCTATTTGTGGACTCCCCTCCGCTTGGTCCCCTCTGCCCTCAGAGCACGGACCCACTGTAGCCCAGTGCCCACCGCTGTAGCACCCCCTGCCATGGACTCCTGGGCGCGTGGGATCGGGCAGTTTGCCGTGCTCTCTGACTGGCCTTTTTCACTGAGCTGATGTTTTCAGGGTCCATGAGGCCCCGGCGCATGTCAGTACTGCATCCTGGGTCTTATTAGACTTAATGAGAGCGCGTCGGGAGCCTTGGAGGAGGGCGTCACATGATCTGGTCTGGTTTTGTTTGTTTTGTTTTTCATTACTGTGCTGTGGAGAGGAGAGTGGCCTTGGAAGTGTGGTAGGGACAGGGACCAGCGAGGAGGCTTTAGTAAGAGACCCAGTAAAGGTTCGTGTGGGCCGAGCCTGGAGAGGGACATTGGGGCCCAAGTTGGACACCAGACCCACTGCTCAGTGAAGGGGTGAGTGCGGGTTCAAATCCACAGAGGGCGGGTGTGGGGGCTGCTCCCCATGGCTGGCCCCTCAGTCCCTGCATCTCCCCTTCCTGGAAAATGGGCAGCTCTAAAATTTAATTCACTGTTTATTTTTTTTTTTAGCCTTTCTTTTAAAAAGTAGGCGAGGAAAGAGAACTGCTGGGAATATTAAATGGTTACTGAACCAAGTCTCTCATTAACCTTACTTTTAACATGGGTGACACTGGAGTGAAGGAAATAGAATTGCATAAGGGTGGTATCCACTTTAAGATTCCACTGGAAATCACTGATTTGGATACTTTCAAAGGGTGGATTTTGTGCTTCTTGAATTATATTTTAAGAAAGCTGTTATATTTACATTTAAAAAGAGGAAAATGAAAACTCAGGGCTGCACATGTCCAGCTTGTGTGTCCTCTAGCCCCCTCCCACACCCTCCACACTAAAACCCCCTGCACCTGGGTTCGTCCTCCACTTGCTTCTACTGTACGTTCACAGGAATCCTCGGTAACTGTTACCCAACCTCTCCCTCCCCTCGGGACAGGTATCATGAGCAGTGTTATCCCAGGTTTGTTGGATTTTTTTTACATGTGGCTGTTAAGAGAAAAAAAAAAGCAGAATGAATTTATAAAAATACTTGGGAGGGCGCAGTGAGACGCGTTACTAGTGTAAAAATACAGCACATCACAACTGCCACCAGTCTCCGGAGTCGGAATTGACACAAAAACAAGCTACGCTTTCTTTTAAAGACTGAGGTGCACCTCATCCAAGCCGTGGTGTTCTCAGTTGCTTCAGTGTGAAAGTTGGATGGTGACTGGAGAGGACTGAAGAAGTGAAGCCTTTGACTTGTGCTTCACTGAAGAGTATTAAGTAAACCATGGACTACCAAGAGAATAGTGAGTTCTGGTGGCCTGGTGGGAAGAACCTGCGCTTCAGTCCCAAAGGCACGCGGTTTGAATCCACCAGCTGCTCCATAGGAGAAGCATGGCGGGCAGTCTCCTCCCATGCAGTTCGCTGTCTCTGAAAACCGTTGGAGGATCTAGCTGTGAGTTCTGTCCTTGTACGATCAGGGCCACTGTAAACGAGTAATGGCCAACTGGATGGCATCTGACAAGAGCAACACAATCTTTGCTCTAAAGATAGTGTCCACCATGATCCTTGAAATAATTTATGAAACTTTACTATCCTTGTGTGGATTATTCTGCAAAGAGGAGTTCTTACTTTCATCAGAGTTTGAGAATCCTAAAAGCCTTGAGAACTTTAAAAGCTTAGGTGGAGCTCACACGGGAAGGAGGCCGAGGGCCAGAAGTGCAACCTTGTCCACTTAGGGGAGGTCCATCAGGTTCGGGGTCTCTCTGATGTTCTGGGTGCTGGGGAGTCAGGCCAGCCATGTGAGAACTTCTCATCCAGACCTCCGGAGGAGGGGCAAGAGAAGAGTTCACTGGGTGAGGATGTGTCTGAGGCTACCTGCATAGGTAATGAGCTGACCGTCACAGGGAGTAATTAAGCTCCTTACAAGAGACCGCCACCAGACTCTGAGTGCCCATTCTGACAGCCGGAATCTTCTGCGCATCATACCTTTGCTGATCACAGAGCTGGGCTCACATGACTGAGGCTGGACAATAGGGGGCTTGAACCACCAGACTCTGAGCTGTTTCTAACTCCTCACTGCTTCTCCCATAATCCCTGGAGAAACTGAGGCCCAGAAAGCAGAAGCTGAGTGGAGCCCCACACCGGTGTACTTTCTACTTTTGCATCTCTACATGTGGGTTTGAGGCTCACTCCCCTCTGTCTGGGCCAGGGGAGGGTTACTAAACTCCCTTCAGAGGAGTCGTAGCTGGAGATGTGCTGGGTGGGGCAGAGGCCCCCTCGTTTGAGCTCCGCCTTGTGGTTGTGGGTGTCCCTCATCCTTTAGCTGCCTGTCACAGTGTGAGGCTTCAGTCCAGGCTGAGACAGGGCTTGAGAACACTGGAGATGAAGTTAGTGACCACTCAGTCCCAGCCGCTCCCACCTCCAGAGGGAAAGACGGTTCTCGACGTCAGCCACAGAGGTCAGACCTTCCCTGGCAGCTCAGGGCCTGCTCCAGAATCACCCCACTGCTGCTCCACGCCACAGACACGGATGGGAGACAGCCCTCCAGGGCTGCACATCCTGGGCATGTCGGCTCCCAGGCAGGACCTCTGCTCTTGTCCTCCTGTCCAGAGCCAGGGGGGCGCCTTGGTCACACATGCAGACCAAGGCCCAGGGGAGTGGCCGGCCAGTCGCAGGTGGGGCTGACGCACCACTTGTGGTTTTTTCCAGGCCTGAGCTGCTCACCGAGGGAGTCAAAGAGCCTGTCACCACAGAAAGTCAAGGTAGCCTGGCTGGGCTGGAGTGTGGGGTCCTGGCCCTGCCACCTCCTGCTTCCTAGCCCTGCTCCCCTCTTCCCCTGACCCCCCTATAACCTCCTTGCTGGGTCTGCCCCTACCTCTCTGCCTCTTGCCCCACCCCCAGAGTCGCCTCCTCAACTTGGTTTCTCTTCCTGCCCCCAGAGCGGGAAACCAGGGAACCTCTTGTGGACGAGAGCCTGAAGAGGCAGGGCTTCCAAGGTAAGGCCACAGCGCAGGGAGAGGTCAGCTGTCCCGGCCTGGCGTGGGTCTGCACTGTGTTTTGTTTGTTTGTTTGTTTATTTTTATTATTTTTACATGTACCGTCAAATCAGATCTGACTGGTACAGGAGGAGATTGTCCCCTCCTTCTCCAGCAGAGCATCTGGTGGATTTGAACCGCGTACTTCTGGGATTGCAGTTGGACTGTGTTTTGAGGGCCAGCTTGGGGATTGGAGGTCCAGCCCCATCCTTCAGGCCTGCTGGTGGAGGGACACAGGTCGGGGGCTGGCAGGCAGGGCCGAGCCCCATGAAGCAGTCCACTCTTCTCTGGTGCTTAGAAATCCCTGGCCGCCCTGGAGAAGGAGAGCAGGCGGGACTGGAGATGTGGTCCAGAGGGAGTGGGGGAAGAGCTGGAGCAAGTCTGAGGGGAGTGACCAGCAGGACCCCAGAATGAGGGAGGAGGTACCCTGTCCATGTCCGTGTGCACGCTGCTCTGAGAGATGACCCGAGGATGGCCATCACCCTGGAACTGGGAGGAAGTGGGGACAGTGAGGCAGGTGCCATGAAGGGCCGGGCTGGGGTTGGAAGTGCCAGGCAGAAGGACCAGATCCCAGGGGTAGAAAATCTTGCACTCTGGGCCCCTCACTCCCTCTGGAACATTCTTTGATGAAGGTCACCCACATCTTCTGTCCTTTCTTCCATTCTGCTCATGCCCGACCCTCTCAGCAGATAGGGGGACCCACTGCACCTCCACCCCGCCACCAGGAGGTCCTCGTCCTCACCCCACTGTGGTGTATTGTGAGGCCTGTCTCAGGGCTCCTTCATGAGGCACCTCGGTGACTGAGTGATCCTGGAAGCTGTTGGGCTGGCCCCTGCCCTTGGGGACCACATACCCCACACTCTAACCTGTGGACACTGACAGCTCAGCCTGCCCCTCCCCCCTGACCTGGAAGCACCCCTGCTCTGAGCCCATGGGGGTCTCTCACCCAGGGCTTGTTTGGTGCTTTTCAAATGTCAACAATTAGCTTCGTTTCCCAGCTCACTGCTGTTGTCACAACAGCGTGCGTCCTTCCAGCGGCACACAGCCTATCGGAATGCACGTTCCCAAGGACTCCGAGGGGCCACTCCAAGATTCTGCTAATTGCCGGAGGAGTTTCCTATAATTAGAAAATCATATTCCTTAAAAGTCACCAAGTGCCTTTTAATTTAACAGCCCAAATCCATAATTGTTTTTTCACTTTGCAGAAAATTACGACGCCAGGCTGTCCCGGATTGACATCGCCAACACGCTGAGGGAACAAGTCCAGGACCTGTTCAATAAGAAATACGGTGGGTCCCGCGGGTCCAGCGGGTCCGGCGCGGCCTCCGGAGGGAGGCTGGCTGGCGGGGGTGGGGAAGGCCGGAGCGCCCCACTGCTGACCCCTCACTCACCTGTCCTCAGATGAGGACCCAGCGTGCAGCCCTGGGGGTCAGCAGCAAAGGACATGGGCACTGGCTCTGCCCCTGCCCCGCGGGCCTGCTAGACTAGACCAGTGAGACGAGAGGCTGGTCCCAGCTAGCCCGGGGCATGCTGACCCACGCAGAGAGGAGCACGCTGCCCCCGGAGGCACAGCTGCTCCTTCATGTTGGGTTATTGGCTCTTGGTATAAAGGTTGGAGGTTCTAGTCCACCCAAAGGCACTTTGGAGAAGGGCCTGATGATCTCCTTTCACAAACTCTCCCTGACACACGTGGAGCCACCGTGAGCCGGCTGTTCACCAGGACGTTAGCTCGGGGCCAGGGGAGGTGGCCTTGCAGGGAGAATGGAAGCTGGAGTCACCCTTTCCTGGAGCTCCTCTAACAGATAAGCACAAGCCGGTGACTTTAAAGAGCAGAGTGTATTTTCTTTCCATTCAGAGTACTAGCTCCAGCCGATGATGCTTCCTTTTCTAGATTTTAGCTTTTAATCTGGTTGCCGTTGTTGATGTTGTTAGATGCTGTGGAGTCGGTTCCAACACACAGCAACCCTGTGGGCAGCGGGCCGAGCCCCTGCCCGATGGTGCCAGCCTTGGTCTCCCCTGTGTCCCCGCCCCGGTCAGCTCTGTCAGTCGCCTCACCGAGAGCCGTCCACCCTTCGCTGACCCTCTCCCTTCCACATGCCGTGTCCTTCCCCGTGGACTAGTTTCTGGGAGCTTTCAGCAGTCTGCTTCTGTTGTCTGGCTTCTCCTTTGTGTGTATCTGTCAGTTCTGCATCTTTTCTACTTCAGAAGCGATTAGATTCAGGACCCACCGTACTTAGGTGTGATTGAACTAACATCAAGGACAGACCCTGTTGCATTCACGTTGTTCCCAGATCAAGGAACTCTGTGTCAGAACAACCCCCCCAGGACTGCTGAGTGTCAGAAGTGTGCAATCTAGGGGAGCTCTGGTGGCCTAGTCGCAAGAAGCTGCACTGTAATCACAAAGGTACACGGTTCAAATCCACCAGATGCTCTGCCGGAGAAGGAGGGATAATTTCCTCCTGTACCAGTCAGATTTGATTTGACGGTACATGCACAAAAAATAATAAAATAAATTTAAAAAAAAAAGAAGTGTGCAATCTGAAATGGCGGGGTTTTTCTAACACCAGGAAACCTCGCCTCTGTTGTGACTGGAGTTTGATAGTACTCACTGCCACATGTGTTACCCCCCCCAAAAAAAAGAAGAAGAAGAAGAACCCCGTAGGCTTTTCTTGGTGGTGATTTTTACAGAGGAAGATCGATAGGAGTTAGCAGATGGGGAGAAGGAGGTGAGTGGTCAGGAAGAGGAGAGAAACCAGGGCCCTAAAACAACAGCAACAGAATTCACTGTTCGAGAGTCAGTTCCAATTCAGAGCAGCCCTGGGGACAGAGTTGAAACCACAGGATTTCCAGTCTCAGCAGGACCCTCGTCGTCGTTCTCCTGCACAGAGGCTATGAGAGGGGAACCTCTGTGCACGTAAACCATTGCACTAACAGAGGCCCCTGCGGAGAGTGCCCGAGCCGTCCTGGACGGGGGACGTCAGGGTGGCCGTAATCCTGTCGTCAGGGATGTGCCACACGTTCATTTCTGTGTGATCTGCTTCGTGTCACACTAGTCCGTAACCAAGTCAGAAAGAAGTCTTAGACACAGGAAACTCGGGGAGACAGAACACGGACTGGTGGGAGGCGGGGAATGACTGCTCACAGGTTTGAGGCAGCTCCCCAGGGGCGGTGAAAGGCGTCTAGAAGTAGACGGCGATGGGTACACAGCCTGGTGAAATCGCTAAAAATCTCTGAATTGCGCACTTGGAGTGGTTGAATTTTCCAGTGTGTGAGAATTGCCATCACCTCGGCTTCAGCACAGGGTCACCCAGGAGCAGCAGAAAGATCTCCGCCTGGTCCTGAGCCCACCGCACAGTGGCTGGTCCTGTCAATCCCATTGTTCCGGTCGCTCTGTTATTTCCAGGGCCTTTCCACTTGGGGGCTCACTGTCCAGCCGCATACTGGACAGTACTCTGTTATGGTCCACAGGGTGTTCGTTAGCTGCCTTTCAGAAGTAGATCACCAGGCCTTTCTTCCTGTTCTTTCTTAGTCGGGAAGTTCCACTGAAATCTGCCCACCACGGCTCACGCTGCTGGTATTTGAAATAACCAGTAGCATAGCTTTCAGTACCACGCCAACTTTCAAGCTGTCACAGTTAAGACACATTAGCAGCCAGGTGGTGGGTATGAATTCTATCTCAATTTTTAAGAAATATCACCAGGGTGAAGGAGAAACTAAAACTCAGAATTTCTGGATTTTCTAAATGCTCAGAACAAATCAGAGCTCAAAGAGAAACAGGATCAGTCCTGAATTCTCAGTCTCTGGGATCGAAACCAGCTGCTTGTACAAAAAAGCTCAGTGGTCCTTCGAGGGCTGGCCCCGCAAGGCTTTGGCCAGTGGCCTCCATGACATCTGTGGGGCTGGTGGTGTCCCCAAGTTCAGGGCTGCAGCTGAGAGACCACCCTCCAGCTGCTGCTTCCCGTTCCCCTCTGTCTGGGGGGCTCCTGGAAGCCTGTCCCCAAGCATGAGAGACGGGACATTTGGGTGCACCCCACGCCTCAGCTGGTATCCCTGCGCCTGTCCCCAGCCTGAGGGCAGGGGTGTGGGAAGACCAGGAGGGCAGTCCCTCAGGGGAGCCGACAGCAAGGTCAGCTGGAAACAGGTCTTCCCGGAGGTGCCAGGCTGGCCGTGAGATGAGGGCTGGTCACTCCAGGCACAGGGACCTGGGCCTGGGCAACGCTCTCTGCGCCAGTGTGGGATCCATTCCGAGCCAGGGGATGGTAGTTGTGGGGCAGGAGAAGTCCAGCGTTGTGGGGAAGGGCCACCTGTGCCCACAGGGTACCCGTCCCCGAGGCTGGCTGGGAGATTTTCCGTGGGAGATCAGAAACGTGCCCCACACGGTCCCTGGCAGCTTGAGTGTGCTGTCTGCCCACCCTCGGCCTGGAACAGCCTAGAGCCATCCACATAGCACTTACCTCCCATGCCTACTCCGTCACCATGTAGCCCCCACGCACCCCCCCTCACTCCTACACCCATGTCTTCACATCACAGACTGTACCCCCACGTGCACATCTTCACACTGCCCAGAGCCCCTACCTGCATCCCAACTGGCTGCACCTGCTGACGGCTGGCCCGCACCTCTTTCCTCCACAGGAGAAGCCCTGGGTATCAAATACCCAGTCCAGGTCCCCTACAAGCGCATCAAGAGCAACCCCGGCTCGGTCATCATCGAGGGGCTGCCCCCCGGGATCCCCTTCCGGAAGCCCTGCACTTTTGGGTCACAGAATCTGGAGAGGATCCTTGCAGTAGCCGACAAGATCAAGTTCACAGTTACCAGGTACTTGGGGGAAGGGCAGAGGGGAGGCAGCAAGATCAGTTCTGAGTAGAGCACATAGCAGTAGCTTCGGCGTGTCCCTTGGTCCTGCCTTGCACCTGTCCTCTCAGCTGACAGAGGCTGCTCGTCCTGGGAGTGGGGGGAGGACAGGGCCTGCACGTCAGCCAGGGAGTAAGGTGCCCCATGGAAGGAGATGAGACCAGACCGTTGTGACATCTGCCTCCGTAAATATATCCTACTGACCCACCGGTCCCCGGCTCTGTGATCCCATTGCCCTGTGGCTCTGTGAATGAGGCACTCTCACTTCAGAACTGGAGACCAAGACGGGTCATTTGTCCATGGTCCCAGACCCTGTGCCTTGTCCCAGGATGCGCCCCTGGCCCAGCCCCCCAAACTGCCCTGTGCACAGATGTCACCAGGCCTTGTTAAACACCAGTCTCATCCAGGAGATCACCGGTGGGCCCCAGACGTCTTTGAGGAGCTCCCAGACCGCTGGGTCATAGTGAGAGCTAAGAGTGCTTCCCAGACCTCTCCCTTCTGACACCCCTTCTCTGTGTCTCTTCCAGACCTTTCCAAGGACTCATCCCCAAGCCTGGTAAGAGAAGCCGGCTGGGGGGGCTGCTTGGCATGGGGGGCACTGTTTACTGTGGGGGCCTGGCCTGAGTATGGGGCCAGAGGCCAGGGCCATGGTCTTTCTCAGCTTGTCTTACGTTGGCTCTGGATTCTGGAGCCCAGGAGCCAGCTCCACCCTCCTGTTCTCCCACCCCACCTGGAGGAGGGGGTCGAGGGGCAGAGAAGGGGCTGGCACAGCACTGGCAGTATGAGAACCTCTTTTGGTCAGAACTCAGGAGGAGGGGCCTTGCTGGAGGGCCGTGTCGGCCTGGGTTGGTGACAGGTGTGTGCAGTGGGAGCGTGGCAGGAAGTGCCTGCCCAGCGATAGGCGGTAAATGCCCTGTGGTGTGTGCTGCCCTCGCTAGTCCTGCAGGGTCCATTCAGGGCTAGTAAGGCTCCTGGACAAAGGATACATTCGTCTGAACCATAGACACCCCCCATCCTGAATTTGTACCCTGCCTGCTCCCCTGTACCCCACTGCACCCCGCTTGGCTCCAGGAGAGGCTGCCAGATACAAGGGGAGACGGCAGCTGCTGGTAGGGACCAGTGTCCAGAACAGACCCCGCAGCCCTGGAATCTCAGTGCACAGTCAGGCATGAGGCCCCTGTGAGCAGCGTCACACTCAGCTCCTAGTTCTGTGCCAACCTGGCTGGGCACAAGGGCAGCCACCCTCGGCAGGAGCTGGTGCAGCCGGGTCGCCAAGCTCACCAAGGGGAGTGGCACGTCCTTGGGACGGTGAGCTTGAGAGCCAGTGAGGAGAGGCGGGGCTCTGGGTGTGACAGCAGTGGGGTGGGTGGCTCACCCCAGTGTGCTTTCTCAGAAGTCTCGGAGCCCAGGAACTGTGGGATGATATGAGTCAAGTGGAGATCCTGGCAGTCAGCCACTTCCTGTCCCCCTGTGGAATGAAAAAAAAAACCACAACACAACACAACACCCCACTGTCTTGACCTTAACCTCGGTTCCCAGGAGTCCACATCTCACTGAGGGTAGAACCAAGCCCTGTCCTGTTGCCTTTCCTTGGCCATGTTCTTTATGGAAACAAAGGCCAGGCCTTTCTTCATCACACTGCTGGATGGATTAGAATCGCTGACCCTTGAATTAGTAAACCTCAAGCCATCAAGTTGTTTCCAACTCACAGTAACCCAATAGGGCGGAGGGGGGCTGCCCTGTGGGGTTCGTGAGGCTGTAATAATTTTTTTAATGATATTCTGCTTTTGAACACTTTATTATTTTTTTTTACTTTTATTGTATTATTTTTACGTGTACCGTCAAATCAGATCTGACTAGTACAGGAGGAGATTGCCCCTCCTTCTCCAGCAGAGCATTGAGGCTGTAATCTTTATACAAGCAGATTGCCACATCTTTCCCCCGCTGAGAGGCTACTTAGTGGGTTTGAACCGACAACCTTTTAATTAGTAAGAGAGCACGTAACCCCTGTGCCAGCAGTGCCCCTCTCCCAGGAGCCGCCTGGTGGCAGAAACCGGCTGGTAGGTGCCATTGGGCCCACTCTGACTCGCAGTAACCCACGGACGGCACTGAAGCCCCGGCCTCCCGCCCGCCCTCACGGTGTCCACTGTGCTCGGCCCATTGCTGCACACACCATGTCAGTCCACTTCTGAGGGTCATCTTCACGCCCACTCACCTGCCCCTTTTTCCAGGCATCATGTCTTTATCCAAAGACAGGCCCCTCGCATCACGATTCCCAGAGTGAGACCAAGTGTTGCCGTCGTTGCTTTTTCCCCTCCACCCCCCATCATTGATTCTAAGGAGCCGTCTTGGCTGCACGTGCACGGAGACCAGTCTGTTCTCTCAGCAGTCCGTGGTATTCCGTACTCTTCACCGCTATCACTCAGAGGCATCATTCTTTGATCTTCCTTGTTCAGTGTCTTTCACAGGCATATGGTAGACGTGGTGACTGTGGCATCAGCACAGAGCATTGCCCAGTGGGTACCACTTAGCACGGATCCATCTTACAAGTATCCCCAGAGAAAAAAAAAAAAAAGAAAAAAAAACCAAATATCCACAGAGGCCCTGCTGGGGCCAGGCAGCGTTCCAGGCCCTCTGGTGACCGCAGGGACCTAGTGAACGAGGTGCCCTGTTTGCTTTGCAACTTTTTGAGGTTCAGACTGGAGCCCCTTTTACAGGGGAGAAAATTGAAGCCATGCTATGTGCCCCATGTCCGCAGCTGGCAGGTGGCCTGTTCGATCTCAGGGCCATGGTCCTTGCCGCGTGACTTCAGGTGTTAACTCACGCGTTCGCTTGGAGAGGCTGGAACTAACTAGTGACAGAGGAGGTGGCAGAGTTAACCACACCAGACAGAAATAGATGTTTCCCCACGAAGCAGGCAGGAGACAGCAGGGGCCAGACAGGGCGGAGGGCCAGGACCTGTCTACAGAACACTCTGCTGGTGGGATCCTGAAATACAGCGTGGTGGGCCCCTCGGTGGGCTTGCGTGGCTCCAGTGAAGTAGCAGGCCGTGTGTGGTCCATCCTGTCACCCACTTCAGAGGCCCCTTGACACCATCTAAGGTTTCAGGCCAGCCTGGCTCCAGGCTCTGGCCTGATAAACATCAGTTCAAGTGCCCCAGAGTCGGGTTCCAGCCACCGGCCTGCCCGACTTGGGTTTCCTCCCAAGTTGGTGTCTGCCAGCGGCACCGGCCCCATTCCTGTGAGCTGCAGGAGGATGAATGGCCTGGGTGCCCCTCTGCTGGGGCAGAACAGCGGGGCTGTTCTCTGACCTTCCCCTCTGCAGCCCCTGCCCTCCCTACTCCCTCTATTCCAGAAGGGAGGGTCCTAGACCTAGAAATACGGCCACTCACAGGAGCCTGCATGTTTCCAAGGAGTCTGGACAGTGGGGAAGGGAGTGTGTGCTGGCCTGCACCCTTGACCACTTGCACTGTCACCTCACTGGTGCTGTCACAGGTAGTTGCTGGTGCAATTCCAGCTATGGGTGACCCCACAGCAGCACAGAGCTTTGCCTGTTCTCGTGCGTTTTCGTGGTGAAGGCTAGTTGGACAGTATTGTGACCAGGTGAGCACCGTGCTCCCGTGCCCTTCCCGGCACAGGGTTTTGTTGCTTTTATTTTTTTTCCCCCCCTTTGTTCCATTACCCAAAATGCTCAAAGGATTAACTATTTACTACTGATCTATTTACAATCAAATATATCACCATTAATAATACCATCATAGACACAGAAGAACCATTTAAAAGGTATGTTTACATATTTTTTTCTACTAGTTTATTTCAAAAACTCAAATACAAATTTGAACAAATTCTTTCCATTTCCCTCATACCCCCACCCATCAAATTGTACAACCCAGTGATTAATTCCTCTTCCCCCTGCACATCCACACGCCTCTGCTTCCACCCTCTCCCACCCCTCCTGGATCCTTATACTCATTCTACAATAATGGTTTTATACAATATTTATCCTTGTGGGACTGAGTTAGTTCACTCAGCGTAATGCTCTCCAGTCCCTCCCGTTAGGTAATGATTTACAGTTCTTGCTTCTGCGAGCTGCATAGTATTCCGTTGTGTGCATGTACCATAATTTCTCAGTCCATTCATTTTGAAGCATATAGATGAGAAGGGGTAGTTCCAATTCAATTGTCAAGGTATAGATTTTTTTTTTCTGGTTCTCTGTTCTCAAGGAATGTCTATCTAACATTAGCAATGAAACTGTCCTTTGAAAATTAAGTAGATATGGTTCAAATCCACCAGATGCTCTGCTGGAGAAGGAGGGGGCAATCTCCTGTACCAGTCAGATCTGATTTGACGGTACATGTAAAAATAATACAATAAAAATTAAAAAAAAAGAAATAAAATGAAGTAGGTAAATGTTCCATTTTCTGGACCCTAAAGGCCACACCGTAGACTGAAGGGAAGAACATACCCTCCAAATCCCAGTCCCGGGGGGTCAGGCTGGAGGAGGCGAGGTGACAGGAAGCCAGGTGGACGGGCGGTGACAGGAAGCCAGGTGGACAGGCGGTGACAGGAAGCCAGGTGGACGGTTGCAGAGGATCAGGCTTGGGAAGGGCCCCCTCCTGCCTGTGGTTGCTGTTCACTGAGGTTCTCTGAGCCACTTGCTAAAGAAGACCCCTTGTGGGTCCCTTTGAGATGAAATGGATCAGCAGTTCAAAGTCCCTCCATTCATCATGCTTTGAAGATTAACGATCTTTCAGGTGTGAGATGCTCACAGCAAAGCCTGGAACCATAGCCAGGTCTAGAGGTGGGCTGAGGCTGCAGCGGCTCCCAGCCCTCTTTCGTCCCACTTGGGGACTTCACATCTGCCCTCGGGCCTCAGTTTGCCCACTGTTGTCTGCTGGCCCTTCCATTCTGACTTGCTGAAGGGCAGGTCAGCCCTGGCTGGAGAGAAGAGGGCTTGGACTTGAGCTTAGAGAAGGGAGGATGGGGTCTAGCCTTCTGCGTCTGCAGGGGGAGGGCTGGGGCCAGGGCTGTGCGGGACTCCTGAGAGAGGGAGGTGCTGGTGAGTTCTCGATGGAGCCCTGGGGCTGCAGAGGATGGGTGGGCCCGGCCTCCCACTTGTGCCAGGGTGAGCTTAGGCACAGTCTCCAAAGACCTGGTCAGGGTCAGAGAGGCCTGGGTCAGCTGGGGCAAAAAGGGATGGGGCAGCAGTAGGGGCCTTCAGCGCGCCCTGTGTCCAGCTCTCAGGAACGGAGGCGTGCCGAGGGCCATGAGCTGTTAGTCACCTGTCTGGCAGGTGCATGTCGGGCACCACAGGACCTTCTGTTGTAGGAGTGGGGCCTAGGTGAGCCTGCTGTCACTCACGTGGATCCCCCAAACTGAGAGAGCCCTGTCTTAGTTACATAATTCCTGTGTGTGTGTGTGTGTGTGATTCCGACTCGACAGTACACGGCAACAAAGCAGAGATACCATAGTAGATGACTTTAACACACTGTCATCATTAGGAGGCTGGAAGTCCATTTTGGGGTGTCATTTCTGTGGGAAGCATCTGTAGGCCCAG